TTTACTGGGACTATACATTGCAGAGGAAGGTCAGCTGTGGCAAGCTGCCTTTCAGGGAAGCTTCTTCATCATTGATCTCACCACTGAGGGACCACTGATCTCACCACTGAGGGACCACTGCGCTTCAAGAGAATCGAAGGTTCCTTGGGAAATGTTCAAAAACCACTGCTATAGCACATTCATATGAGTGACCTCATAGGGGCAGAGGTCCCTTCGGCCTCACAATAAAATATTTGAGGGGTTTGCCCCTCCAAAAAAATTAATGGGCAGTCGTTCAAATGTTGTGTGTGTGGCATGTCATGTGATCAATTCTGCAGGGCAGAGCTTCTTCAAGTTGGCACCCCTGAGCACATCTGACAACCCATGACCAGCTTGGAATAATTGGCATGTAAAATATTAATAGATAACATACAAGGGTGTTTGCCACCTGACAGCATTTGATAAATTACACAAAAGCCATCCGCCCTGGCTGAGCCAGGTTTTTTTCTCTTTTTTGGCCTCCTTAAATAGTAAGGAATCCGAGGCGCATTTAGGGGAGCACGACCAGTTTGCTCGCAACATGATAGCTGAGAGGATGCCACAGGGGAAGCCACAACAATGTTGTAGAACGGCGCATGAGAGGCAGGGAGTTCCAAATTTTGGCGTTGCATATGGCGCCACGGAAACTCGACAGCCCAAAGTCCGCCATTGCCACAATGCATTTGAACTCTAGTTCAGTGTTTCCCAACCGGTGTTCCGCGGCACACTAGTGTGCCGCGATACGTTGCCTGGTGTGCCGCGGGAAAAATTGGTGGGGGGGGGAATAAAGGGGAAAAAAATTATTCCCCCACCGCCAGGTGTGGGGCTGGGGCGGGGGAAGCCCGAGCTTCCCCCTCCCCCAGAACGGGACCCAGAGCCATGCCGAAGCTGCGCGCAGCTTTGGCATCGCTCTGGGAGCTTGCGGGGCTGGGGGAGGAGGAAGCCCTCCGCCAGCCTCCAAACCATGTCGGGAGACAGCGGGAGGGCGCGCTGCGCCTCTCCCGCTGTCCCCCGAGTTTGCAGGGCTGGCGATGGGGAGGAGCAGGCTTCTCCCCCCGCCAGCCTTCCAGCCAAGTCGGGGGGCAGCGGCAAGGGCGCGCTGCGCCTCTCCCGCTGTCCCCCGAGTTTGCGGGGCTGGCGACGGGGAGGAGCAGGCTTCTCCCCCCGCCAGCCTTCCAGCCAAGTCGGGGGGCAGCGGGAAGGGCGCGCTGGGTTTCTCCGCTGTCCCGGACGGCTTTCAAAAGCCTGCCTTCAAAAGCCGTCCGGGACAGCGGAGAAACGCGCTGCCTTTCTCCGCCCTCCCGGGAAGGCAGGCAGGGGGGAGCAAAGGCTTTCGCCCCCGCCCGCCTTCAGAAGAGGTCAAGGACCTCTTCTGAAGGTGGGCGGGGGGCGAAAGTCCTTGCTCCCCCCTGCCTGCCTTCAAAAGCCATCCGGGACAGCGGAGAAACGCGCTGCCTTTCTCTGCTCTCCCGGGAAGGCAGGCAGGGGGGAGCAAAGGCTTTCGCCCCCGCCCGCCTTCAGAAGAGGTCCAGGACCTCTTCTGAAGGCGGGCGGGGGGCGAAAATCTTTGTCCCCCCTGCCTGCCTTCCCAGGGGCTTTTAAATCGCCCCGGACAGCGGAGAAGTCCTCCGCTGTCCCGGGTGATTTTAAAATGCCGCCCGCTAGCATTTTAAGATTGCCCCGGACAGCGGAGAAGTCCTCCGCTGTCCCGGGGTTTTTTAAAATGCTGGGGGTGGGAAGAAAAGCCCTTGTCCCCCCCCCCAGCCTTCAGAAGAGGTCGGGGGACAGACTGTCCCCGGACCTGGTCTGAAGGCGGTTTCCCTAGGAACGCATTAATTGATTTTCAATGCATTCCTATGGGAAACCGTGCATCGCAAGACGAAAAACTCACAAGACGAAGAGACTTGCGGAACAAATTAATTTCGTCTTGCGAGGCACCACTGTATCCGGAGAGGCGGCCTTCAGGCGAGTTTTAATTTTAATTTTCCTTCTCCCACTTAATGCCCCACGCTCGCCCGAGCAGCTTGCAGTCCTCGGTAACCACGGCGACCCGAGGGAGGGGAGGGAACAGGGAAGTCGAGGGCGGCGGCGAGCCGCGATGACGTCAGTGGGCCGCGCCGCCTCGCCCTGGCACGGTGTGAGAGCCCCGGCTAGTGGCGCGAGCTTCAGAATAAGTGGGATCCGCGTGCACGAGACCGAGATTGCGGGTAAGGAGCTCAGCCCTGGGCAGGAGGAAGCGGGGCCGCGCGTGCGGGCCACATCCCCACAGAGAGCGAGCCTCCCCCGGCCCACCACTCCGGGCAGGTCCACTCGCATGAGGGGGCGGCGATGGCGACGGCCGGCAGCTTGCCTGCAATGCCATCCCTCGAGCAGGCGAGGAGCCCGGAGGCTACCAGATGCGAGTCCTCTTTCCCACCCTGCTCGGGAGTCCAGAGCACTTGGTCGCATTCAGGATCTAGAGTGGGGAAGCGGGGCTTGTGTCTGGGCTGGACACATTGGGCTGCCTGTGCCGCTCGACCTGCGGGGAGAAATCAGGGTGGGAGTCACGACCGTGAGGCAGGGCTGCCAAGTGTGGCAGAAGAGGACACGGCCGTCGCACCTGTCCTTAGGTAGGAGCTTCTTCCGTGTCGACCTGCTGCCCTAAAGTCTTGGCTTTTTTCTTGGCTTTTTGGCGGTTGGCACAGAAGGAAGGCAAGGGGGAGGGGAAAAAATTGAAACTTACACTTTCGTGCGTCCCTCCCGGCGTGACGCTGCGCGCTGACGTCACGGGGCTGTAATGGTGGTGTGCCTCGAGATTTTTTTCATGAAACAAGTGTGCCTTTGCCCAAAAAAGGTTGGGAAACACTGCTCTAGTTCACACCACCTGGTTAGAATAGCATAGTATTTGGGATGTTCCCACTGCCAAGGTATGAATGCTTTGGAAGCTTTTATATTCAGGATGAGACTCTGCTAAATTCAACCTTCGTAAAGAACGACAGCTGTTCTGCATTCCATAAAATGCAAATCCTACCTAGTTTGGTATATCTGATTGAAAAACATAAACAGATAAACCCCTAAGAACCAAGGGAGAGTGTTCATTTGAATGACACTTATTTCCCTCCTTACTTCACTAAGGCTGCAATCCTATTCACACTTATAAAGAAGCCCCTTTGAACACAGTGGGTTGTACTTCTGAGTAAACAAGCATAGTAATGTGCCATAATATGATTTTCCACTTCCTGTGCCTACAGTGGTTTTGTCTAGGCAGCAGTCAACCAAAATATTCTCTTCAAATAGCCATTCTCAGCTATCATCTTAGGTTGTAGGTGAAATCCATGAAAAAGACTGAGGTAGCATTTCCCAGTAGCATATTTCAGATTAGCCCCAATTCACAATGTATCTGGAGAATTGATTTAAAAGGCTTACCAGTTTAGAAGCATCCAAGCATATTTAGGCATCTTCTGCAGAATGCTGGAGTTTACGGCTTATGCATTCCAAATCTGGCCCTATAATATCAGGGATGCTCTCTGGGAGCACAAACTAAGAGGTTCCCGAGATAAATTAAAGAGGAATGGGGAGAGAGGTCCGTGTTCCCACAGCTCAATGGCACTTTAATCTCAATGTGCACTTTTGGCTCCTTCTGTGAACACCTGGACAGACAGTACAGTGGTACCTCTGGTTACGTACTTAATTCATTCCAGAGGTCCGTTCTTAACCTGAAACTGTTCTTAACCTGAAGCACCACTTTAGCTAATGGGGCCTCCCGCTGCTGCCGTGTGATTTCTGTTCTCATCCTGAAGCAAAGTTCTTAACCCGAGGTACTATTTCTGGGCTAGCAGAGTCTGTAACCTGTAGCGTATGTAACCCGAGGTACCGCTGTAATCCGAAGACTCAGCTATACAGCTGCAAATGCAACACTGAAGCGCATTACACAAATGTGACACTAGATAGCAATGGTGAGCTCATGGCAAATTCAATATATTTTTCAAAATGCATTTTCACAGCGTTTTTGATATGTGTCTAGATTCCACCCCAGTCGCAGCCTGAGGTGCCCAAGCCTGTTTCTCAAATGCCACCGTTTCCTTAAATTGTAAGCAGGCAAAATGAGGCAGCAGGAAGTGTTGGATGGCAGCTGCCTTGTCCTCCTAACTCTGTTTGAGGACAGAGCTATGTTTCAGATACTACCTGTCCCAGCCTCCCTAAACTAGCCAGCTGCCTCACGTGGGGTGGAGGATGCCAAACCCATTGTTCTCGCAGGCTTCTATACACAGAGTGGGGAAAGGGGCCATCTTGTTTTTTGCCTCAGGCAATAACAGGTCTTTGGCTCTCTCTGGTCATAAGGACTAGTCTCTTTTAAACTGGAATCGGAATATCGGGAGATTTCCTTAAGCTAGGGTTGCTGTATTTCAAAACATAAACTTTCGGACACAAAAGTTGCTGAGCTTTTCTTTTTTTGGGGGGGGGGGGGGACAAATGTATTGAGCTTTCCCTAACCCCCAAGTTGCTGAGCTTTAAGATAAATTCAACTGTGTAAATAAGTTCTGATGGATGCAATAATGGAATACTGAATGGTATACCAGTTTTTGTAGAATATGCAGGGATTTATGATATACAAATGAGCCATGGAAAGAGAAGGGAAGTGAGTGATATCTTAAGAACATAAAATGAGTATTTTAAATTGTAAAACAGCTTTATGGAGGGGGGCAAACTGGTTGAGCTCCCCCCCCCACAAAAGTTGTTGCAAAATCTCCCCCACACACAACAAAGTTTTTGAGCTATTTTTAATGAAATTCACCAAAATCCACACTTCAGACACAGACTACCACAATGAGGGCCAAATACCAGCTATGTCCGGACATATGGCAAGCCTACCTAAGCTCTACTGGTGGCTTAGCTACAAAGTCACAAAATTCCTCCAGGAAAGAGGCTGTAATTGATACCACAATTAATTTTCCCCAAGAACTTTTTACATAGTATCCCATGAGTCTGGAAAGAGTACTTACTGTGCGAGAAGACCTTGAGATACCTCTGTCTTAACACCAGGAAGCAGGAGGGGTCAGGAGATCTTCAATAGTTGTATTTATTTGTGAGCAACGGATTAACCACCCAGCACAGAAGCTGTGGGCTTGCTCCACAAAGAAAAGACTCCATATCGTTCCCACTCAGCTGTGGAGAGAACCAAACCCAGAGAGGGGAGTTTCTATTACAGATGAGACCTCTTAAAGAGACAGGCAACAATTTGCATAACTTCCAACTTTGCTGTTTATGTGATAATCTGCATCAAGTCCATTTCATCTTTGGACATTTGCCCCCCCCCCACTTCCTAATTATAGGCCCTTCCAATGCTATGATGCTAAGAAAACCACATACAATAAAGGTCTGAAATTCTGCAGTCAAGCTGTATCTTCATTTGTAAATCAGATCGTGCAGTATCTGCCCATGTTCATCATTTCCATTCAAACTGGAACATGAGTGTGTCACTTTATAAAGGTCCACATTTTACATCAGCCGCTCAGAAGATTAGGGGAATATTTGTACAGGTTCTTTTTCTTCCTAAAATGGCCAGTTATTTATGTCCCCCCCCTTAGATTGCCCACTTTATCTGCTCTGCTGAACACCTGTGTTAGTGATGGTAAATTATGGGCTTATTTATAGGGATCACATATGGTTCTACAGTTTATTAACAAATGCTTGAAAGGTATCAGCAAAGACCTTGATTAAAAACAGCATATGTCTTAACATCTTTAAAAAGCAGCATATGTCTTACTCAGATCAAGTCTTACTTGGATCAAAAGTCCTTCTGTTTGTGCAAAGGCACCAATTGGATATATTCATAGCCATGTAAACATTTTTAAGACCTATTGCTCTGAAGGGGTGGCATTGCAATGCTTAAATGTAGCTGCAGGGTTCCCCAAACTTGGGTCTCCAGCTGTTTTGGACTACAATTCCCATCATTCCTGACCACTGTTCCTGGTAGCCAGGGATGATGGGAATTGCAGCCCAAATGCAGCCAGAGACCCAAATGTGGGAAACCCTGCCATTGTCTCCATAGTATTCCATCATTACTATGACCCCGGCTCTCAAAGAAACACTCTACATTGATAGATGGCTTCGAGAGCCAAGTCAAACAAGCATGAAAAGGGCATAGCGTCATTCCCTCTAGGCTGCACCATTTTAGAAATCTGCTGGGTAGCATATTGTTTCCTTGGAATAAATAGAGCAAGTGGTTAAAGCAGAGGGCTATGAAACAAGGGCTTTGGGGAAAATCAGCAACAATTATTCTTTCAGTTGATATTACTTGTTTAGGTTCAGTCACTTGATTTAGAAATGTATCTAGTTCCTTCAGCCTCATGCAGAATATTTCATTTTTCTTTGAGGTTGAAAAATCCCAAGAACCTTGAAATGCCGGTTTACTCTGATGGGAATGGTAGCATTTTCTAATCTCAATCAAGCAGAAACCACCTGGAGAAATACCCTCTTTCTTGCTACATTTTTAACATGCATCTGGCACAACGCAGCCTCATGAAAATGATAATTAATGAAAATAAATATGTGGCCAAATTTACACACATCTCAAGAAGACATGATAATGTTTATAGCGAAGATTAAATAAGGCAATATTTTCAGTTGCATCTGCTGCTGATTTTATGTTTTTTCTCCTCGCTCCTCTGGAGTCATCTGCTATCTGTTTAGTGAAGCTCCACCACCACAGGTCCTCCCCTCCCCCTTCTTCCTTCCTTACTTCTTATTTGAATTTGTGCATGATGCAAAGGGGAAATACTGTGGAATTATTTTGCAGCTGTTTGTGGGAATAAAGAACACCCAGGTAGATACAGTGGTACCTTGGTTTTCAAACGTAATCTGTTTTGGACTTCTGAATAAAAATAAAATGCCAAACATTAAAAACTTCCCAGTACAGGACTGCTTTCAGATGTCTTCTAAAAGTTGTGCAGTTCTTTATCTCCTCGTACCCTAGCATAAACCTTTGCAGTGCTTCTAAAAGTTGTGCAGTTCTTTATCTCCTCGTACCCTAGCATAAACCTTTGCAGTGCTCACTGAATAAATAACAGCTCATACGTGAGAACAAAAATACGGTAGAGTGCAGAAATATTTTGTTTGTGTGTGATAAATGCACTCCTTGAATAGACACCCGGTGTGCATGAAATTGTCTGTTTATATGTTCATTTGTTCTGCAACCACCTCTGCAAGGATAGCTATTCCCCAGGTATCTCCTTCTAATTATTGGGCAAAATAAGCAACTGCTAGGTTCTGCAGTTGAAATTTTAGATGCATTAAGGAAGTCCCCTTGGAACTGAGAGTGCAGTCTCAGAGAACACCGCAAGACCTTGTTTGCAGAGTTAGTTGCTCCCCTGTCAACAATATTTATTAAAGATCAATGCATAATTCAAAGCAATTAATCTATTTGAACAATTTTATTCCTTTTTATGCTTATGCGCTAGCCATGATATCTATATTTTATTCCACCCTCTGTGAGCTTGAAACAACTTGGCAAAGAGTATGCAGCAATGGTTTTCAAACTTTATACCTTTAGGGACCGCTTTCCACATTGACTGATTTGCATGGTCTCACATCATTGCCTGATCTTCCCTGCCAAAGATGGATCCATTCTGGAAAAGCTTTCCGAGTTATATGGCTCTCAAAGCTGCCTCACACTGTACATTGGCTTTTGGTTAGTGCCAGTGAGGTGTAGCCGCTTGAACATCAGGCTAGGATTGGTGAGACCCAGATTCAAAACCACACTCAGCTCACTGGATTATGTTGACCCAGCCATTAGCTCTCAGTCCAAGCTACTTCACAAATTTCTTGTGAGGTAAAAATGTGAAGGCCCCATGTACACTGTCTTGAACCGCTTAGGAGAACAGGTGAGGATATCAATAGGATAATTAAAATCATTTGCTGTAATAGAAACCAAAAATATTTAAGGCTACTGTACTATTGACCAGCTAAATATTTAAGGCTACTATTGACCACCAGGGACGCGGGTGGCGCTGTGGGTTAAAGCCTCAGCGCCTAGGACTTGCCGATCGAAAGGTCGGCGGTTCGAATCCCCGTGGGGGGGGTGTGTTCCCGTCGCTCGGTCCCAGCACCTGCCAACCTAGCAGTTCGAAAGCACCCTCGGGTGCAAGTAGATAAATAGGGACCACTTACTAGCGGGAAGGTAAACGGCGTTCCGTGTGCTGCGCTGGCTCGCCAGATGCAGCTTGTCACGCTAGCCACGTGACCCGGAAGTGTCTGTGGACAGCGCTGGCTCCCGGCCTATAGAGTGAGATGAGCGCACAACCCTAGAGTCTGTCAAGACTGGCCCGTACGGGCAGGGGTACCTTTACCTTATTGACCAGCTGCACATCACAAGCACTGGATGTTTTGTGAAGTGGATCACCTCGAGTAGGAACAAGATGGAGACTTTTGGTTTTATAACATGTTTACACTTTCTGCCTTGACCTTTGTGCAAAGTGTGTTCTCCTTCATGGAGAGCACATGTTGCAGTGGGGGCCGACAGGCCACTCCAAAGTTGTGGGGCGGGCTAATTGATCATTGGCCACTGTTGTGATTGGGCTTCCCTTGTTGTTGGGAAGAAGTTAATGTTGACATTTGTTGATTGACAGCCAGAAATGCTAAAACTCTTTGTGCGAGACTAGGGCTTCCTCTTTTTGCCCATGCATCGGATTGCCCGTCCCTCCCTCCCTATATTTAGGGTTGTTCGCTTTGACCTTGCTATGCCTGTCATGGGTTTGTCTGCTCTTGGGGCAGGGGCCCAGTAGGAATTTTGTCCATGTGGCTGATTGGCTGGTGCCATTTGGTTTTGCTACGATTTGCATAGCAAATCGCCACAACTTGTAAGGTTGCGGTTAGGCATTGGTTCATGGTTTGGTTGGTTGAGGGGCATGGATTGGCTGTGCCTGCCCCTCTAATGCTGCTGCTGCAAGGGATTCCGTTAAAGGAATACAGGGGCTCACTATTGCTTTTGTCTGAACCCTGTCAAGGGGCTAGGGCCACGCAAGAGCCCCTAGTTGCATTTGGGGAGGGCTGAGGGCAGGTTCCCTGCTCCGTCGCTATCCCCAAATGTATTCCCCTTTTCTGACTTCCGCAGGCGTGCGGAACGTCAGTCTGTCCTCCACTAGAGGGCAGATAGTCGCAACCAATGCCTAAGCAACTACTCACATTTTTGTCTTTTAATAAAGTTGTGGCCAAAATTATGCCAAAAACCCAAAATTTCTGTGTGATGTGTGAGTTATTTGGGGTGGCCCTGGGGACTTCAACCCGCAAAAACAAACAAATAAACAAAAAACAAAAAAAAGGAACAGTACTATTTTCAGATATGTGTGGTAGGTCCCCCAAGTTAAATACCTAATTTCTTTGAGCACCGACTCTTCTGAATGATACCTGGGGTAATATGTTCCTAGACTTTCTCTTTGGACAATGTTTCCCACTTTCTTTCATTTTTTCTTTCATTCTAACACTCCCCCCCCCCCACTTAGTCTGCTTATTCTAGTAGCCATCTGACGCTGATATAGGTTAGGGCAGGGGTCTGCAACCTGCGGCTCCCAAGCTGCATGTGGCTCTTTTACACCTTTGCCGCGGCTCCGGGGCGGATACTAGCGAGGGTAGGAGTTGCATTGTGCGCCCCGACACTCCCCACTGTGACGGGCGCTGTACTGGCTGTGACGTCGCATGGGGGTGGTGCATGCATTAGTTACGCACTGTCCCGACATCACCTTCCCGCCCGCCCGCTACATTGTAAGGGGCATGTACGCTGGTCACTGTTTTGAAGCGGATTGAAGAGCACACACACACAAAAAGGTAACTTGTTAATTTAACGTTTATTTCTATGAGGAGGAGTAATTCTGAGGGATCAAACAAAGAAATAATAAAAAAGTGACAAAAAGTTATTTTTATAATGATGAGTTTTGCGGCTCCCAGTTGTTTTTTTCTTTGGAAACGGGTCCAAGTGGCTCTTTTTGTCTTAAAGGTTGCAGACCCCTGGGTTAGGGTGACAGTGGGGAGGGTATGTTTTGTGTGGGCCCTTTCATGTTTTAAATAATAAATAAATAAATAATACCACGTCATCTTGTCATATATATTGGTGTTTCTAAGGTGGAATTTGCTATCTGTATTGTATAGCAGTG